CAGATTTGGTTAGTGCATCCTAAAATAGCAGTGGTAATGGATGGCCTACAAAATAATCGGTTCAACATAAATACTCTAGAAGCTGAAAATGTATATAATACTAGATGAACATCAGGAAGTCATTTAAAAAAGTGTCACTACTGTCATGATGCAAAAGAAATACTTTTTTTTTTTTTGAAATTTCTAATCATCACATCATTACAGTTGCTTTTCATTTATGATGTAGCATATACTAGCTGTATTTTTGAACTTTGCTTTTACTAGCACACGAATGAACCCCACAATAGCCTAACTAACCAACTTTAAATGTTTTAAGGAAAATTGGAAAAAGCCTTGACATACCGAAAATTCTAGGAATTCTTGTCCATATCTGCAAATCTGATTCTGAATATTCGAAACTCGGACATAAGCCCTGCACCTTGCATGCCAATTCTCTCCCTGCACCTTGATACCAAATCTTCTCTCTACCAAAATTTCTGATTCAAAAACATTAGTGAAAGCGATTAGCATCAAATTTGAGGGCATCCCCTATCTTCCAAGTTGCATGCAGAACAAACTTACTTGGGGATTGCATAATCCCATCTTTAGATGACAAAAATTCATCACGGAAAATGAAGCCCCACCAACAGGACTATAAAAGTCCATGCATCCCTTTGCTTCCTTAGAAACTCACATCTTCGATCTATTTGCTCTGAATTTAATAACATTGCTACACGAGCATCAGAAACAAGAAATAGTTATCACAACCAGAAACATAAGATCATTAAGTAAAATAAATTAAAGTACCTTGCAGGAGCTTCCAATGAACCAGATTTCTGTAGGCGAAATCACAAAGTTTGAGGTTCTAGATTCCTTGAGAGTAGTTCGGTCTCATCAATATCTTCTCAGCCCTTGTCAGTTGTCCGGCCATGGATATGAACCTTGAGGTCAAATCGCCTATGGATCCGATGCTCTAGCCAAAACAAATTGCCCATCACAATAAAACGAACCTTGAGCTTCCAAAAAACAATTAGGATCAGCATAAATAGCAAGAGTTGATATTTATTAGCTTGCCACTACAAAAATTAAGATATTGTATACCTTCTGGCACCAATAGGCTTCACACAATGCCACGCCGGAAGAACTTGTGACTAATGTGTTTCTCGTATCTGGCAAACCATGTTTGGGTATGTAAACTTGGTAGATTCTAATAAGTACTGAAATAATTATGAGCAAAATGGTCCATAATGCCAAACTTAAGTGCATGCAGTAAGTATCAGTCGGGACAAAATCTCCTTAAGTCCTTCGGTTGTAAGGAGAGTAATTTAATTTTAACAACGTAAATACCATGTAAAATAAAATTTTTTTAATCTAAAAGAGATATGATAACATAATGATTATTTTTTTTTTTTTTTTTTTTTTTTCGACCCATTTGAAGATGAGTTCGTATGTTAACATGATCCTCAGCAAAATTAATAATAAATTAACTTGCATTGTTCTACGATTCCTAATGATCATGCCCAGAAACATATCTATCTTGGTCCTTGCGTTGGATCCCATTCCCCATCACCCATTCATTAATTACTGCCTCTCTGATAAAATGCATATTATTATAGTTTAAATGAACAGTGCATTAATAATCTCATGGGCACATTTCAAGGCCGCTTGAATTATATTCATAGAACCATAGGCTATCCTTTTCATTAAAACATAATACCAATGTGAAAGCCTATCTTTTCATTTAAAACCTCACTTGAAGTCTTTATAGACTGCGGAAAATAGCTTATCTATACTTGACTTCTGATTTCTTCACCGTCTTTTATCATGGAATCGGTCGTCTTGGTGCTCAAGTAGAAGAAGCCTCCCACTCTTTCCGGGAGATGATAGCTCCTCAAAGCATCATTCCCACAAATGGCCAATTCATGTAATCCGGCCGCGATCCACAGCAAACAATTTCCTCAAATGGCCTAATAACAATTTCCAATAAAATCTAATACCAAAAACTAGTATAATCATTATAAAATCCAAACCAAACCATTGTTAAAATGACCTAAATTACCATTAGGACAATAGTCCTTCCAGCGAAACTCCACCGATTGATGAGGAGGGGTAATCTTTGCACCCCTCAGGAGGAAACCTTGTCCAAAACTTTTTCTCTAGGATCAAAGTTCCCATGGATCTCAATTCTCTCATCTGCCGGTCGAGACCTGTTTGCAACAGAGTACCTTGAAAACCCAAATAAACCAGAATTCAGTAAAAACACCAAAAGGGGGGGGCGGGGGGTGGTGGGGGGCGGGGGGAATGCGATTTCCTCTCACAATGGCAAGACAATAAAACACCTTATGCCCAGCTGAAGATTCAGCATGATGGTCTATAATTCTTGTGCCCTTTCGATATCCGTCCAGCCGCCGCGTTCTTCGCCTCTCCCCACATTGAAAACATGCGGCTGTCGCGCTCCTCACCATCTTCAATCACCTCCTCCTTTCCGAACTCCATCACGCTCCCGTCTTTATAAACCTCCAATTGCATCACAAATATCGAAGTGTTATCCAGCTCACCATCAGACTCTCCAAATACATTAATCCTCGGGGAATATTCATTCTCCCGTCAACCGCCACGACCTCTTCCTCACCCCCGCAGCCGCCGTTGGCGGCGAAAAAAAAGTCCCATTCAATAGCCTGCTTGCTCCAGCTCCAATATAGCAGCTCCTCGTCGGGCAAGTAATAAACCCCATTTCCCTTTGGAACTCCGTTTCTCCACTGCCCCATCGTATCGATTCCATTGGCCCTAGATCCAAAAACCCTCGTCCGCTATAACCCCGCCCTTCCACTCTCCAATGTACTGTATCCCATTCTCCAAATGGGTTAGCGGCCGTGGCCGTCTGCAGATTTCTCTTTTCCAAGCTTCCCTCATTAGAAATCGCCGTTGCGTAGGATATTGGATTCTCGTACCCGTGTTTTCGATCGTTTGCTCAGGATCCCGCGTTACGTAGTTGCCGTCCGGAGCCGGGAAGGTGCCGAAACCTCTATCTCGCCTGACGAAGTGGGCCCTCGAAGGTGGCGCCGGAGGGCAGGAGAACTTCACCGCGCCGGACGGCTTTCCCGCCGCCGCCACTCCCTGCCCTCGTACATGCAACCGTCGGCCCACAGGTACTTGCCTCCGCCGTGAGGGGCGTTGTTGTGGAACCCGCCACTGTACAAATCGCCGTTGGCTAGAAGCTTCTCTACTGAAATACTAGGGCTAGGGCTAGGCCTAGGGTTAGGGTTTTCTTCGTCAGATTCCGGGGTGGGGAGTATTCGCCGGCCTTGGGGTTTGGATTTGGCTCTGAGCTCGGTGGGTTGCTGCTCAAAGGAGGAGACTTGGGGCCTCATTGGGGTTTAGAGGGAGAGCATTTGTCCGGATCTGGATCTGAAGGAAGAAGATGAAGAGGTTGGATTTTTTTTAATTTTGGGGTTTTTTTTTTTTGGGTGGAGTTTGACGTTGCTTTGTGGTTTTTTTGCTTTGATTTGCTTTTAGATGTTGGTGCTGTAGGGAAGAGGAGACGGAGAGAGAGGGGCAGAGGGTTAACGATATCTGGGCAATGGAACGTAAATGACGTAAATAGTCATAGATTTTTTCGGCAAAGACGAGTGTGTCCTTCGGGGTAAGAAAAGCATACTCAATATGAAAAGGATAATTGTACAAAACCCCCTGGTATTTGCAGTGATTTGCGCAATATGAACACGAGCTATAAGAACCCCCAAGCCCCAACCTCAATTTTGGGGATTTCCATATAAGGCCACCACCTCAAAAAATTTGTTGTTAAATCTAGAGCAAAATTCCATTCTAGGTGTTGTTAGTGAAGAGAGAATAGAAGCAAACAAAAGATAACAATAATGAAGGAAAGAATCACATTTAGTGATTTACTAATAGAAACAATAGCAAAAATAACAACATCAAAGCATTTATCGCAAATGTTTGTGAATGGTTACATGAATTATATTCTTCTGTTCCATTTTATTTTACTAATAGAGATGTGTTATTTTTAAAGTAGTGTTTTTTGGTTGATTTCCCAAATATGATAAAAAGCTTGATTTCCAGGAAAATAGTCCCAAATCCATGTGACATTGTGTTATTTTCCGTCCACTTTGACAAATTTTTCTTTCTTTTGTTTGCTAACAACTTCGCAACTATAAGAGAACGTGAGGTGATACCCTCTTGGTGGTCGACATGATTTTAACTTAAGGAAACTCATTTCAAGTCTTTGTGAATGAAATCACTTAGATTTTTTTTTTTTTTTTTTTTTTGGGTTTCTTAAGTGATTCTCTCTTTTCAGATTTTCAAAGAAATTAACCAAACAGCTCATTAGTAGGTGGAAATTC